CATCCCTTGCTGATTCAAGCCAGGGTGGTGCTAACTCCCTGTTTTCTCTGTCTGTGCCCTGCAGATGTATCCGAGGGCTCAGTTCCCAACGGAGATTCCCAGAGCAGCGTGGACAGTTTGCGGAAGCACCTTCGTGGCGACACTTTCACCCAGCAGCAGCTGGAAGCTTTAGATCGAGTTTTTGAGCGTCCTTCTTACCCTGACGTCTTTCAAACATCAGAGCACATCAAATCTGAGCAGGTGAGGGCCCGGCAGGATGATGGCAGGGAGATTCCCTCACCAAAATCACTTTCCCCCTCTTCAGCCCTTGTTCTCACACTGACCTCTTATTGCACACACAGCACATTTACATTGTACAGCACTTTCTAGTTGCAAATATATTGCTGTGCAGATGCACATGTATATAGAAGTTCCACCTCCTCTCATGAACTTGCCATATACACGCACACTGTGCTCTACCCTAAATTCCCATGTGTGCCTTTCCGTCTGCACACCCACCTGCAGGTATGCGGGCATGTTCTTGCCATGAACACACAAACACTGCCACGCATGTTCACACAGAACTGCATGGAAACTCCTGCACTCTCAGATCATGCCAGTGACCAGCGAGCCACAGGGTCGGGCTTTAACAGAGCATTTTCCTTCATGGCCCAAAGCTGAGATTTGACTCCCATCTGCAACCTAGTTTTCTGCACTTCCGCAACTCTGCCCCCCTTTCCCTTACTCACCCGGCCTTTTATCCCAAAAGCTGTTTGTCTTAATAAAATGAAAATCAAAAGTCTTTTTAAACCGCCCCAAGCCATAAACCAACAAAGGAAGAGAAGGAGAGGCTGGCTGTGGACTCCCTTCATCCCAGAGTCCCTGGGTTTATTACAATGAATAACCTTTATTTACTTTCATTAGACTATTAAGCACCAGCACAGTCATTTTTCCCCCTGAAACTCTGAGCAGGGCCCATAAAGCAAATCCGAAGCCTAATTGAGTTCATTTTAATTTCTCTCCGATCACAGCGAATTACTCTGGTGATAAATCAGGGGGCAGGCTCACCCCCAGTAGAAGGCCTAATTTGCAGCTAATTACAAAACTGATTTCTACAGGAAGATCAATACGAGAAGGAATTGGAAATGACTAGGCAGTCCTAGCCAAGCAGGGACAGGGGCGGGGAGGGGGCAGCATGCAGGGAGCCCGCTGGAGGAGGGGGAGATGTGGGGAGGGGGTTGGGGAAGTGCATGGAAAAAAACGGAGCAGAAAGAGCAGAAAATCAGTTTTAATTTAACGTAATATTAATCAGAGCAACTTTTCCTGCTGTTTTGTAGCCTTCTCGGTTTCTCCAGCTCCCGCGTCTGGTCTGGAGGCTGCCACAATAAAAAGGCAATTACCAGAGCCTTTCGGACAGGACACCCTTTCAGATTCAATGGCTCTCCCCCTCCCACCCTTCTGTTAGCCATGTGGCTCCCCCCTCCCCAATTTCATACCCCAATGCACAGAGTGACAGAGGCAGGAGATGAGGCTTCTTTGTTTGTTTTTAAAGAGCTAGGACAGAGGTAACAGCAGAGGGGAGGCAGACGACTCAGCAGAGCCTGGCTACAGTGGGCCAACACTGGCTGCGTTCTTCAGCCTGCCTGTCCCAGTCATGTCATTGCAGTCCTCTGCCCCAGCCGTCCTTGTCACCAGGGCAAACACCTCCTGCCTCCACTCAGCCAAGAGGAGAGGATGTGGATTTCCCCTTTCTTCTCCCCTGGGCTGGCACAAGCAGCCATCCCCATCCCCACAGCACTGAATGAAGGCTGAGTCACACCAAGATAACAGGCCAGATCCCTCAACCTCTTCCCCTTCACAGTGGCACACAGGCGGGTGGGATAGTTCATCCTAGGAGCCCCTCCCCACAACCCTCTTGTCACTTTGTCTTCTCCGTTTCCTCCTCCTCCTCTTCCATCTGTGCAGGGGTTTGCATCTCTCCTCTTCCTCCCCCCCATCTGTACACCCTCCCCTTTCTCCCAGTGCATCAATAGCGAGCTGTCTTTCTCCTCTCTTCCCCAGGGTAATGAGTACTCCCTCCCAGCTCTGACCCCTGGTCTCGATGAAGTCAAATCAAGTCTATCCACCTCTGCTAACCCAGACCTGGGGACAAATGTGTCAGGACCCCAGACGTACCCTGTGGTGACCGGTAAGCTGCCTGACCAAACAGCAGAATCAAGCTTTTTATTTATTTCCTTCATCACCATTAGCTTCTGCTTTTTCTGCTAATGCAAGATATCCCTCTGTGGCAAACATGGAAAGAGAGAGAAAGACTGTGGAGGACATTAGGGCTCAAGAGAAGCTTGAAATTGAGACTATTGGCAGTTTTGGGTGCACCTAGATGTGCCCAGCTGTGACTCAAAGACAGGCAAACCCGGGTGTCAATTGGGAACTTGTGTGCCCAGATAGGGCTTAGGGATGGATGTTGCTGGAAGGCAGATATGTCCAAATACGCACTGTGATTTTTTCCTTTGTGTCTGAGAACAAGAGGGTCATGGCTTACCTATGATCTGCACTTGTTTTCTCAGGGAGAAATAATAAATTAAGTTTTATTCAGCTCTGGCATTTGGAAGGGGCATTTGCAAACTAAATACTGAGGTCTGTTAAACTACGACTGCTAAACGGCCTCTTCCTTAAGCCCATGAGTCGCTAACAGCAGCTGGCAAAAGAACTTTGTTCACTGTCTTCTCCCTTCCCTCATGTGTGGGCACATTAAATTCAGGTCTCTCTGAGAGAGTAGGCAATGAGAGCAAGTGCATGACAGCAGAGGAATTGGGATGCACAGAAGTAGGAGGCAATTTCTGCAGCAGCTGCTCCACAGAAACTTCCTCTTTACTGGTGGCACGTGCAGGACCTGAGTGGCACAGGGTTGTCCTGGAGCTGCAGGGCGTGCCATACTGGTGCTAGTGTTAGGCTGCCTGCCCTGTGTGTGTCTAGAGCCGTAAGGAGATATTCTTGTGCCACAGCCCTTCTTCTCAGGCTTTAGAGGTCACTGGTCCCCGCTCACACAGCTACCACAGATTTGCACATCTCCTCCTGGGTAGCTAAGGCAGCTGGCAAGGCCTGAGTGGCTCACCCCTGTTTGATATATCCCCCTTTCCCTA